ACTGAAGCATGGAAGGGCCTAGCAATGACAGTCGGATTTATGGCTGACCTTAACCCATGTCTGAGACCCCACCTGGTTCATGTGATTCAATTCAACCAAAGTTTGCTCAACTCTGGGTCTAGTGCTGGGTACAAAGACGGATGGACCCAGCCTGGGGCAGACTGAGAGGAAAGAGGGGCCAGGAAAGGGGCAATAAGACAGGTGTGAGTGGGGAGAGTGGGGACTTTTCATTATGGAGCTTCTTGTGCCTGGGTGGGGGCCTGCGCGGTAGGCACCACACTGGGGGAAGGGAACAGGAGGCGGACAGCAGCCCAAATCAGGGAACCACTTATCATTGTAACTTCAGGAGCACCTAAAGACCACCTCCTTTGCAATAGCTGAAGTTTTGCCAGCAGACTATTTTTATTTGCCTAGTTTAAGATGTAAATCCCTCCCGGAGAAGAACCTTAAAATGTTATCCACGATCTTGCCTTAGTAGTAACTAGTTACGTCAGAGATAAAAGGGAAAAACTTGTGGGATTTCCAAAGGTCCAGGAAAGACACACGAAATACATTCCTCTCCAATTTTCTTTGTTGATTCTCTACATTTCATTACTGTATCATATAGCCATGTTTAGAATCCAGGCAAGGTGGCAAATGCCCTTATAAGAGGGAATGCGGTCCACTGGCACCCCAATCCTTTTACATGACTGCCTCCCCCACAAACTCCTTCTTATAATACTTCCCTCTTGGTTTGAGGATAGCGCCCAGTCCTGGTTCTCCTCACCCATGCATGTTCCTTTTCAAGCTTTCTCTGAGACAACCCTTCCTTCGCCCATGCCCTAACCAGGCTCCATCCTTGGCTCTCTCCTGTTCCCTTCCCATCTACGCCCATGGCTGCAAACCCCCTGTGCTTTATTTACCGCCCTCATCCCAGAACAACGTGTGATGAGGGATGGATGCTCACCAACTTAGTTGAATGGCTGAATGAATGAATGTATCCCAAATCTATACCCCCGTTCAGAAGCCTCCTCAGGCCAAAATCATCATCTCCAAGGACTGGCATCTAGTTGGTGTTCCAACACTTAGTTGGACAAATGACTGATGCCCAGGTTCCCAAGGCTCTCAGGTCCAAATTTCCATTTTCAATTCCCTCCTGGACGGGAAGTTTACAAAATTTCGTCAAAGTCTGGCCTTGATGGGAGCAACAGGATGGGAGTGTGAGGCACTTCTGTTATTAAGTTAACATTTCCTGAGCTGCTCAAACTGGAGTGTGTGTGGGGGGGCGGGGAGGCGGACTCCGGAGGCTGTAGTGGAGAGCGGTGGGAGCACAGGCTAGGACTCTGCCGACCTGAGCCCTGAACACCGACCACTGAGGGGCATGTCGCAGGACCTCTGTGAAGGGAGTGGGAGGAGACATACTAACATCTTGGGCCTCTGGCATAAGGGGCTTGCGGGACCTGGATCCTGAGCCAGGGATCTCTGAGGAATAAGGGATGTGGGAGGCTGCACAGGCTGCCTCCTCGTTGAGGGAAAGACTTAGGGCTGAGAGATCTGACTCCAACCTCCCCTGGGAGGGGCAGCCAGTACAAGAAGGGCTAAGGCTGACCTTCCTCAGGCGCCTAAATTATGGTAATGACCTGGGCAGTCCTGTCACTCTAGCTTGGGGAGGAGCCAAGCGCCTGGGAGGAGGGGCCAAGGGAACCCTGGGGCAAGACTGAAGACAGACCTCGGGCGGCAGAGCGGAGGTGTGACCTAGCCTTCCCCGGGAGAGGTACTCAGACTCCGGGCCTGTGTTCAGGCTTCCCGTCCCCTCGTGCTCCTATGGGGGCCCCGGCCCCGCGCGTCCCCGCGCCCGC